AGGAATTATTTACCTGGCATTTTCTTATTATATCACACAATTATAACTTCCAGTGTGCACCAAGCGTCCTCAAGCTCTTAAAAGGCGTGTCAGGTTTGATAAATTCTGGATAAAGTTTGAGATAAAGTGGCAAAACATCAATGTCGGCATTCCCCGTAGATCATTTCTCTCATTTTCGGCTTTCCCCGCAGTCCGGGGCAACGCCGAAAAAGTCACTTCTTTGATATTTTTAGTTTGTGCGCTTAACGGTATGCGAATTCATCAAATGCGCCTGGTATGTTTGAAAGGCAAACGACTGGCCTCTCGAATGACGCCAACAAGAATAGCTTATGTTGTCTACCTTGCGTGCTACGGGCGTCAGAAAAAAAGTATTCGGCGTTCCCCCAACTTCCCCTATCACCCAAAAAGTTTCAGGATGGTCTTACAAGCCTCTTCGGCACACCAAAACCACACGCTTATTTCTCTTTTGGCTCAAAACTCGGCAACGCATTCCATACACAAATCAGGACAGGGAGCCTCCCATTACATAAATGCCAATCTCTACCAGCTCCAGAAACTCTCCACCCCTCATTGCGTTTGTCAAAATGAACCAGAAACAATACACCATTTTCTTTTATCATGCCCTCTTTATCAGGAAGTCAGAGCTAACCTTTTCACTCAGCTTTCACTGGTCTTAGGTAACCAAATTCTAAATTTACCTCGAAGAGACCTAATCCACAATTTAATACACGGAGACAGTATCACCACAAGCACTGACGGCGGCCGGGAGGCCGCGGCGCTCTTCCAGGACTTCGTGGCCAGGGCGATGGCACTGCGGCGGGCGGCGGGGGCGGCTGCTGCTGACTCAGCGGAGGAGTAATCTCACACTCCTGTTTATGTTCGCCTTTCATTTAATTTATAGTTATGTTGGTGTACTATGTTAATCCCGGCGGTGTCATGTTTTGTTAAGTTCTATTGAATGTGGAGAGGTGCCTTGAGTTGAGCTTTAGGCTTTTGCACCAATCCTATTTGTATGTTTTGTGTGTCTTTACTTTGTCTGGTCTGTTAAAATAAATGAGTTGAGTTGAGTTGAGAACTGGTGTCACAGTACACATATCTGGGGTCATTGGCACAAACCACACGATTCACCACTCGAAGTTGTCTCTCTCGAGTGCTATGCACTTCACTGGCGGATCCAGGGGGGGGGGGCATTAGGGGCATATGCCCCCCCCCCGACAGGAGCCTGGGGAGGGCATTCAGTACAAGTATGCCCCCCCCGTTCAGACTTACACTTCTTACGCCTATAATGAGGAACTAAATAAAAATGAATTAGAAAGCCTTCCTAGTAACTACTTTTGTGATCAGAGTCGTTTTAGTAACCTCAATTTAGTTGTCATTGCTTTATTTTATCTAAAAATATGTTGCTTCTTAGTTCATGCCACAGGGGAGTCATGCCGCTTCAACCCTTTTTAACCGTATTGTCTAACGATGACACTCATATTGCGCAAACCAGGAATCGGCCGCTGCCAATGCTTGGGGATAGGGACGGTTAGAATATGATTTACCTGTATAGCCGCAGCCAGTGCAGGGTAACCGGGGGGGGGGGGGGGGCACAAAGGGCGCGTGCCGCCTCATTAGATGCATGGTGCCCTATGGGCCCGAAAGGCCCTGCAGTGCCAATTGGCCGCTCAGGGTCCAAGCGTGCCTTATTTCGACTGAGATAAGACCCGCAGGACTCGTGAGAGCACCTCACGGAGTCACGGGCTCCTGAGTCGCCACACATCACACATCTCCATAAGGGCCCCACTCCAGCTTCTGAGGGCCCTGTGCTGGCCTCTGAGTGACCTTGCTGACCTATTAAGCGTAGCGTCAGCTCTAATTAGGGTCCTGGCCCATACCTGCATGGAACGGCTCCACACCAGTGTCTCTGAGGGCCCATAACGGCGCCTGTGAGGGTCTCACACCGGCGCCTTTGAGGGCCCAACACCGCCAATCTGAGGGACTAACACCAATATTTCTTAAGGCCCTACATCGGCGGCGGCTCTGAGGGCCCCACACTGGCGCCTCTGAAGGTCTTACACAGGCGCATCTGACGGCTACCTACCTGCAACTCTGTGGGCCCCACACTGGTGACTCTGAGGGCTCCCAGTGACGCCTGAGAGTACCACGCCGGTCTCCAGGATCCCACAGGGCTCCTGAAGGCCTCTGCTGGCCCTTGCTGGTCTCTTGAAGACCCCTTGCCCCCATGCATGTCTCTGAGGAGTGAGGACTCCCACAACGATGCCTTTGAAAGTCTCCACCGGCGACTGTGAGGGCACCACACAGACACGTCTGAGGGCCCTGCACCGCCACCTCTGAGACATCAGTGTCTCCTGAGGCCCCACATCGGCGACTCTGAGGGTCCCACACCGGCGCCTCTGGGGCCCCACACCAGTGCCTCTGGCAGCCAGCCACCGGTAACTCTGTAGGTCCTACACCGGTGACTCTGAGGGCCCCACCGGCATCTGAGAGTACCATGCCGATCTCTAAGGACTCCACAAGTCCACAGGGCTCCTGAAGATACTGCCGGCCCTCACTTGCCGGCCTGTGAAGGCCCGTTGTTGGCATCATACGGCCCGTTACCGGCCTCTGAGGGCCCTTTGTCGGTCTCTGAGAGGTTTTACTGGGTTATTAGGCATTCGCATTTCGCACCAACAACTCAAAGGGCCCCCCGCACAGCCATCTGTGAATGGTGTGGGCTTAGGGCCACACCAGTGTCTGAGGCACCACAACGGCGTCCATGTGAGGGCCTCACACCAGCACCTTAGAGGGCCCACACCGGCTCCTTTGTGGCTCCTGCACCTGTGCCTCTGAGGGCCCCACACCACTGCCTCTGGGGAACCCACACCGATACCTTTGATGGTCCCACGCCAGTACCTCTTAAGGTTCTACACCGGCGGCCCTGGGTCGGCTCTATACACCAGTTATTCTGAGGGGCCCCACCGGCCCCAGCAATTTTCGTCGATTTCTGGCGCTGCCCGGGTATTTGTCCCAAAAGCCTCCGGCTCCTGGATCTGCGAATGGGGGTCAGGTGTCCTACCATTTCTGTTTTAAGAAAAAAAAAACTCGTGTCAGGGCTATGACGAAAAATAAGTGGCCTAAATCCGATGAGAAAACAGGATTTGGGGGTACCCTATAGGTTTGGCTCCGTGACATGGTATGCCCCCCCCCCGCGCTGAAACCCTGGATCCGCCAGTGATGCACTTTGCCATCCTTCTCTACCACGCTCGGTCGCACTCCTGGAAGGTTTCTTCCTGGATGCTTTTCAGCTCCATCGTCGTGGCCATTTGGATGTCCTCCACATTCTCAAATTGGTCAAGTTGATGACTCCTTTGAGCTTGCGGAAGAGGAAAAGTCGCACGGGGCCAGGTCAGGTGATTAGAAGGGCTGCTGGAGCATCCCCATCCCCTATCCAGCCAGAAACTCACGGATTCTCAGAGCATTGTGAGCTGGCGCGTTATCGTGGTGAAACACCCACGATTTGGCATCCCACTTCTCTCGCGTCTTGTCGCGCGCTATCTTTGCACAATCTTTCCGCGTGTTCAAATCTTATGTGATAATCCACAATGCTTGATTCTTGCTCAAGCCCAGTTCATCTGAGATCATCTGAACAGTCAGTTGACGGTCGGGCTGCAACAGCTGCACGACGCACTCGACGTTGACGCCTGTCCTGGACGTTGAGGGCCTGTCACTCCTGAAATCGCCTTCCACGTCTTCACGTCCCTTCTGAAATATTATCACTCGAAAACAACTGACAGTGAGAGCGTATCATCGTCGCGCACTTTATGCAACAGTTCAAATGCTTCCGAGGGAGTGTTACCCAATCGTATACAAGCTTCAATTTTGTGCGTTACTCTGTGTCCATCATCGTTAAACGGCCCATAGAAAAAGATGTTTATTAAAGTGCATGTAGGAAAAAATGTAGATGTCTTACAAAGTTAATACCTATTGTGCACACACACTCCAGAAGGACCAATTTCATGGAAAAAAATAGCACATTGCAGCTTGGGTTCCAAACATGCCTTCAGTGACACCAGTCCTGAAACTTTTGGGACACACCTCGTATGTCAAACTACCAAAGGTCACTGACTTCACCTTGACCTGACCTTGACCTTGCACAGGCCAAGGGATGGCCTGTGTCAATGTCATGTTAGTCACTTCTGACCCCAACAACACCTCAATGTGGCCGATAGCAGCATTAAAGCCCGTCAAACCACGATTTCGGTCGATTGCTGATTGCTGATTTATTGGAGTTATATATCAATATTTGTAAAGCTATGCGTACCATCGAATGCGAAATCTGATGTCGCTTAAACTAATATCCTTTTCCTAGATTTTTTCAGGGGCGGCGCTGAGCTTCTCAAAGTAGGTAGGCACACGGGCGGCAGAAGGTAAGGTACCCTCAAATGTGTTTCTCTAATCGAATTTGGGTCACTTATTTTTCGTCAAAGGCTGCGAGTTGTGTGAATAAAAAAGATGTGTTCGTTACAAAAAGAGGAAGTTATATTAAAATTATTCACAACAAATGCCACTGTACACAACCTACCCTGCTCACCGACTCTTTATGTCGTGAGCCGTGTACGGCGAGCCCTGCCAATGACTGCAACTGCAGGCCACCTCTCGGTCCGAGCTCGACCCGAGCTCGACCAACGGCGCACCGCGCAAGTGACTCAGGAGATAGGCGAAATGCCCAATGAGCCACAGGGGCATTTTTCTACAAAAAAAAGAACTAAAAATACGTGCCCGCTTTCGGTAGACCGGACTCCAAAATCACGTATAATATTGCATGAGAAGTATCAGCATTCCTCCCGCTCGTACGTGCATACAGGAATAAATGTTATTGCACTAGTAAGCATCACATACATGGCAACCTGCTACGCGTCTCAAGATCGTTGGTACGTTCAGTGTCACGAACATCAAACATGCCAATATAACGACCCCACGATATCCCAGACTGCCAGCACGTACCGTTCATGATGAGTCTAGCGGAAGAAGAGCTTGATGTTCCGATCCTTCTGATGTCCGAACCTTTCGATGACGCTCTCGTAAAGAACGCCATCCTTCTGCAGTCTGCTGAGAAGAGGAGCCTCGATCTGCAGTTTGCTGAGGTAGCTGAGACGGTCCTGGGACATGGTCGAGCGGAGGTAGGTCTTGACACGCTTCAACACGGAGAAGCTTCTCTCCTCAGATACTGTGGTCGGCTTTATGGTGAGAATGAGAAGACACAGACGATGGGTCTCCGGAAACGCGTCTGTCAGCCCCTGCCTTTTCATGTGTTGCAGGAGTTGCTGCGGCGCCAGGTGCATGTCGGTAGAGCCCCACACTGCTTTCAGCTCATTTTGAAGCATGTCAAGATCGAAAAGAGCTCCATAGTGTCGCTGCAGAGACTGCAGCTGCGCTGTAGGACGGCTCTGATTGAAACTCCCGTACCGTTCCGGGGCGAGCAGCTCACATATCTGAAGCACGGAGTGGTCCTTGAACCGCTCACCCAGCGCTTGGATGCACTGATCCAGGGCTTCATGGTGCACCCGTTGCAGCGTGTCATCGGCTCCTGTCGAATAAAGTCCATGTCAGACGCAGAAACATTGTTCGTAATCACCTTATATGTCCATGGAACACTTATCAAACCGTCACTGTCGAAATACTTGGGCAGTGTAACGTTATCTATCGATATAAAGCTTATTTATATGAGTAACAATAAAAATAACGTGACCTTTTGCTATGAGTCATTGCATATGTTAGGCGAGAAATCTGACAGAACCATCTACAAGTGGCACTGGCAACCATCTAAAAGTACCGGTTTATTGATTTCAGTAAAGCCATTTCGGTAAAATAGAGAATGTCAGCTTAATCTATAAAGGCGACTACATACATATCTAGCACTGAAGTGCAAAAGCAGACAGGGGCAGCAGTGCTTACCTGTTGCGCCAGCCGCCGCCTCCGTTCCGTATGGCAGGCAGTCACCCCACTCCTTCCGTCGCCTCTTTCGAGGTGCCGCACTCTCCCCAGCGAGCTCGGCTGACTGGTCCATCTTCAGCTTGTATGCCTCTTCTGTTCGAAGCCGTTTCAACTGCTCCTGGCAATCGACTACACTGGTGACGGCGATAGCCACGTCTAGCGTTTTGCTTTGTAGTTTTTGATAGAGCTTTCCAGTGATGGAGAAAATGTCGTCGTAGAGCACCAGCAGGAAGAGAAACTCCAGAGACGATAGGTGCGTGAGCAGGCCTTTTGCACTGGAGACCGCCTGTGCGTCTGACATCCACTCGTTACTGTCGCTGATAATGGTGAGCGCCTGTCTCAGAGCAGTCAGGTTTCCCCTGATCACGTGCACCGCTCTTTCCAGGTACTGCCATCTGGTTTCCGAGCCGGCCACCATACGGCGTGTGGTGCCACACTCTTTCAGCAGGGCTGTGCGCTTCGCACTGCGGCTGAAGAACGTATGGAAGCCACGAACAGCGCAGAAAAACCTCCTCACCTCCCTTATATCAGCACCGTCCATAAGCACCAGGTTGAGTCGGTGGGCGTAGCAGTGCATGAAGGCGGCATGTGGATAGTGACTTTGCACGATGGCGCGCACGCCATTTTCCCTGCCGCTCATAACGGAGGCACCGTCATACGACTGGCTCACAAGCTTAGTCTCACAAGAGTCGATTTTACGACACACAGCCAGCACTTTGTCCGCTACAGAGGCTGCGTCGTGCCTACCAGCCATAGCCTGGAAGCCCATGAACCGCTCTTGTATGTCGCCATTGCCGTCCACATAACGGACCGTAGTGACAAGCTGCTCTTCTGTTGAGATGTCTGTAGTGCTGTCAGCTCCGACAGCCAAGAAGCTGGCCTCCCTGATCTCTTTTTGCACGACTTCCGTGACCACGTCATGAATATGACGTATCAGGTCATTCTGTGTGTCTTTTGAGATGCCCTTGAAGCTGGCACTGCTCTCCATGTGCTCGCTGAGCACTCGGTCGTGAGCTGCGACCAGGTTGAGCGCTTCCACGTAATTGCCACGATTGACACTCTCCATCGTTTCATCGTGACCGCGGAATGGGAGACCCTGTTTGGCCAAAAATATCGCCACGTCTATCAGGCGTCGCATGATGTCCCGGTTTCTTGCCACTTCTTGGTTGTGCTGAGTCTTATTTGCAGTGTTCGCACGATCACTGGCCTCTTCCATGGCGCCGAAGTGATGTAAACTCAGCGTAGCAGTCAAGTGACAGTTGGTCTTGCGATGGCGGTCGGCGAGTACGTTGAAATTTTTGATATCAGTCATCCCTGTTTTAGCCCAGGTCGAACTGACTCCTTCAGGCTGAAAGAGCAGGCATGGCCAGCAGAGAAGTCTGGGAGGACCTTCACCCGGAGCAGTGAGCCATTTGAAGTTCTCGAAGTTTTTGTTGTTGAAGTGCCGCTTTACTTTGCCATACTGGAAAAAGAAATGCCAGGGTTAATTAATGTGTGTGGAGGTGGTGCCAATTGCAATTAGTTGGTGCATAATTAATCCACGCATCAAATAACGCACGGCATTCACTGCCAATGGACATTAACCCGCGCCCGGCTGGGGGTCCTGGATTTCCACGCCCTGCTGGGGGGGGGGGGTGTTTGAACACCCCCCCTTCTAACTCGGCTCCTGGGCCACGTAGCGATACGCGGAAGGCGGCGTTCGAAAGAGCGTCAAAAATAATGACGAAATCACTTCGGTCAATTTTTTGGTCAGGTCAAAGGTCCGGTCACCAGAGGTCATTGAAGGCAAAATTTCGCCGATATCCAGGTCGAAAGTCGAAAATTTCCAAGAAGCCAACGCATAACTCGGGAACCAATAGAGCTACAGCGCCGCGGAAAAGCGCATTCGATAGCCCTATTAACGCCCTTTCTGAATAATTCTCTCAGATTTGACCTAACGTCAACGGTTTTGCCTGCAGGGGGCAAAAACTGCAAAAATAGCCGATTTTTTTCGGAAACAGTTTTTCTGCAATAACTTTTGACCCAAGCCTTGTACGAGCTTACTTTTACCAGTATCGTGTTCCTCTCGTCAAGACGCATCGAATGAACTATAACTTGACCTTGAAAGGTCAACTTGAAAATTTGACCTCAGGTCAAGGTCATGACCTGACCGGAAAGGGTCATGTTGCATATCAGTCGATCCGTATCGTCGAGCTGAACACATCTAAGGTGTTTTCATCGCTCTAGCATGCCTCTATCAAAAGTTATTTGCGAAAAACTGTTAGATACCATTCGTGACCTAAGATGACCTCAGGGCATAAACAGGGGTCACGGACACCATTTTCATGTTCAGTGTGTCTAAACCACTAGTAACTCAGTGTTTGGGAGTGTTTATAATGTCTTTCGTCCAAAAGAGACGCATTTCAATTTTCTCCCATTGACTTATAATGGGGAGGTCGCAAAATTGACCTGACCTTAGGTCACCGATATCAAAATTCTGAGATATACATTTTGTACATGCTATTGCTCTTAGCAATCGCTGAAAGTTTCAAAGCGGTCGGTCACTCGGTGTAGCTTTGACAGACATTGAAACTTTTTATGAGGTGAGGTCACTTCAAGTGACCTGGTGACCTGACCTTGAATGACCTTGGTCTGAAATTTTCACAACATGTGTAGAATTGATGCATGATAAGGTGTACCAAAAACGGCGGCGCTCCGCGCCGCCGTTTTTGAGATATTCGCGAAAAACCACAAGGGGGGGGTGTTCAAACACCCCCCCCCAGCAGGGCGCGGGTTAAACAAGCACGTTGTGTTCAGAAAAAAAGCGGCCGTCCCGGGAATCGAACCCGGTTATCACAATCACTACTCTAATACGCTATCCACTCGGCCACCACCGCCAGGCGGGTGCGGCAAGTTAACCTTGCATTAACTATCTAGCCTTAAAATATTAAATAAAATCTAATCATAAAAGTCGCCGATCAGATCCATTATCATCGGACAACCTTATAACAGGAGCCATTGCGAAAATTTCGTTGTTGTGATCGTATTGCCTAGAAATAAATAGGTACCTAGGTACCTACTACCATGGATGATATAACACTGGATTGGTGTCTCGTGGAAATTAACATTGGGATCCGCGACATTGGGATCAGGCCTGCCATCTAGCGAGAGAATTATCGTAAGTTAGGAGCAAGCCGAGTGAACGCCATCTCTCAGCATTATGACACACGTGGGTGTGGTGTGTTAGTTGGCTCGAAGTGCATATTCCCACGAGTTGGAGGTAATCTAACTGGACCTGAGACGACAAAAAATGTCTTAAATGCTTGAAAGCCAAAAACGTCAAGCAGCCTTTAGGTAATAACGAAAATAAAATGCGTAAGACGGTGTGTATTGAAACGCCCAGTCCCATTGGCTTGTACGAGCTTTTATATGGCCATTTACTCACAATGGTACAGCAGTTTGACAATATGTCATACATATTTGGTAGGCTTATTCCTTCTTCTCCGAATTTCGCCCGATTTTCTTCATCTTAGTTAATGTTACGGCACGTGTCACGTGCCAACCCAGGGGTGTCGAAATTGTTCCACATGAAGTAACTCCGCAATGGCTGGGCCCATTACAGTAAAATTTCGTCAATAGTTAGGCACCCAGTGGCCAATGCATTTCCATGTGTCACTATGGGGGTGCTACTGCACGTGCGCACGTGCGGGGTGCCGCTTCCATATCTCAAGAACGGCTGGGCGTATAACACTCAAACTTGGTACACAAATGTCACATCGATGCTCGCACTGCATTGATCAGTGCTTACATTGGAGTCGTTAGGAAAACGATGAAATGAGATGCGTGGTGTTTATGCCTTTCTGTTCCAGCAGCTGATTGATCCGCAACAGGAGATCGTTGTTTGTGAAGGCTTCGTCTCCCTTTTCCACTCCTTGTTTAAAATAACATTAACAATGTACGAAGAAGATCACACATCAAAGTTGTTTTAGGCGGCTATCTTGGGCCAGGACTGCGGAGTTGTAGTCAGAGCCAGCGGTTCTGTTCCGACTCGGAATCGGTTGATTTTTAAAAGCTGTGGTCGGAGTATGAGTCGAACGTCACCGGAAAGTCATCGACTCCACAAACTTACCTACCAGGGCTGCAGAGTCGGAGTCTGTGTGAATCGACAGTTCTGCCCGAAGGAGTCGGAGTCGATATTTGGATATCGGAATCGGAGTTGGAGCCAAAGTCACTGTCAATTTCATCGACTACGCAGCACTGGGCCCTGTTCATGAAGTCTGCGGCCGCTGCGGCCGGCCGCAGGCTCTAAGCTCCGCCCATTTTTGAAACGTCATCACTCACTCGGCCGCAGCAGCGTTCCATGAACAGCGTCTGCTGCCGAAATAGTTTCCGACAATTGTTTACAACTGAAGCACACCGGTAGATAATTTGTTTACAAAATCGTCTCCATGACAACACGGCTTGCGCTATTTGACTTCAGTGCGCCAAGTTCAGTGCAATTAGTTTTCTTGAGGCTCGGCGGTCGCTGGATTGCGGCCGCAGAGATCGCAGCGGCCGCAGCAAGATGACGTCATACATTCGTCATACTACATGAGCCCCGCCCCTTTTTGTGACGTAACAACCCGGCTGGCCGCAGCGACCGCAGCGGCCGCAGCGACCGCCGGGGTTCATGAACAGGGCCCTGGTTGGGTCCTTTTAATAGAGCGTCTTGAATGGCATATTGAGCGGCAATGACGTTAGCAATTCCGTTTAACTTTTTCATTAGACTTATAGATAGTAGGTATTTACGTTCGTTTTGTTCTTCGATCGGACAATTTGTTTGATTTAGGCCAAGTAAAGACTCATGTGAAAAATAGCGAAAACGACACGTGCTGGCGAAGTCTCCAATAACTCCCTGTTTCACGATTTGATGAGGAAATAACATGGAACTGCTTATCTTATTACTGACCCTGCACATAAATCTATTAATTTCTTCGCTTTTACTGACATATAAAGACATAACCTTTTGAAAAATTGCACATCAAGCCTGCTACTACACCACACTCCCGTGTGTCACAATGCTAATCAGCGGCGTTCACTCGGCTTGCTCCTAACTTACGATAATTCTCCCGCTAGATGGCAGGCCTGAGCTCAATGTCGCCAAAAACTGCGAAGACACCAATCCATTATTATCTCATCCATGCTACTACCTACCTACGGCGACGCGGATAAAACCGTGGATACCTAAAACAAAACTTATCGATAGGCATTTCCAATTCAACGGCAACAACCCATGATTTAATTCATACATACCTTTTTGGACAAGTCTACAGCAGGTGTTGGACGACCTTGCCGGACTATGGCTTGCTTTTGAGTAAATTCACGGCGATTGAAACCCTCGCTGAGGATATCGTCTACGATGTTTCTCATGGTGGAGCTCGCACAAATAACTTTCTTTTTAACGCCTACCTTTACAAGAAAAAATCAATTTAATCAGATCACGACACGCTCGGTTCGTACTTCGTTGAATTCAAATGATATATAGTGTATGAACTTAACTAAATAACTAAATAGATACCTAATGTATAAACATCACCAAATACATCCAACGCTTTTGCCTATTGTTTTGTTTTGCCTCGCAACAGCAGAAAATTTCGTAATCAAGAACTTTATGACTTAGCTATATCAGCTTTTTATCTAGATTCACTTCACTTTTTACGTTAACCTTAGCTTATCTAACATTTTCTTTTATTCACTGTTTTTTTTTTCTCAAATTTTACTGCCTTTTTTCTTTTCCAGTTTCAAACAAATATAACCCTCGCAGCTGTTAGAAGTATTTCTGGTCCATTCCGACCACATTCCAGAAGTCCAAATTATTTACAATGTATTTATCTTAAAAAAGAAAGAATTCAGACTGCAATGAAACCAAGATTATGAAATTAAAATTGATAAATTAAAATGTATCTTTTCTCAACAACAAGTGACAAAAATGTAAAACTGAGTTGAAGAGTTGGAAGGTAGCACTTAGTATGATTGCCGACCTTTCAACTTTATTCTACTAAAAGGCCCTATAGCTTCAACATAGCCGCTAGTTGTTAATATAGTAGGACGAGGTAGGCACATTAGGCAAGCGTTTTCACCCATTTGTCATTCTTGTATGGCTCCGTTAATACATCTATTGAAAAGTCGGAAAAATTTGCTTTATTTTTAGTCTACTCCGGCGTGCAAAAAATGTTTTTTTTGTAACAAAATTGAGCA